GGGGGGGGGGGGGGGGAATGGGCTCAACACCTTTTTGAATGTCTATCTACAGAGTTACCTTTTGTTGTAAAATATTCATTATTAGGTTTACGATATGATTTCCTCCCTTTCCACACCGTCGTCGATAACATTAACGCAATCCCGCTCTTATATTCGCACGCAATTACGCACTTTTATTCGTTACGTGTATATTACATGTCTGCCGTACACCTTAGACGGTCGTCGATCTTCGTCCTCGACATAAAAGCTGTATCGTTTAAATAATTAAAGCTATCGGCTATCTATTGGCTATCCTGTATCTACAAAGAACTTATGCGTTACGCTTGTTTGCCGAATGAAAAAGAGAACAGGGAAACAATCGTATAATCGTGTATACATATTAGAAATCGCGTAAAACATGCCCATCCGTTGAGTGATCAGATACTTGGGCCGCGAGAGAGTGGCCGAAATACGATTGTCACCGACACGAGTCCCGTTGTTGTTAACATCTGCAATAGATCTCGGAGCACGAGCTCGTTTGACTGCCGCCGGTGTCGGTGAGGATCGACAGTTATCCGTGGATTAGTAATTGGCCGCGAATACCGTGTCGGTTGTCAAATCAACAAGATTTACGATTTCAAACGATGAATTAGACTAATACTTGATCGAAATAATTTGGTATATTCGAAGATTTGAGATCGCACGTTTGTTCTCCGTCTTCCTCCCTGTCTCGTCATAACTCGATTCGCGTCCGAAGTTTTCCCTATCGAAGCCTTTCGATGCGAAATCCCTCACGGACGATCAACGAAGTATACGGATCCTCGTTGTGATCACACGCTCGTCACGATTATTCGTATCCTCGTCGATCGTCCGGCTCTACTCGGTGAGACTCGGATCACTCGTCGACAGACGAATCAGCGTCATTAAGAATACGAGATGTAATCGCATGAATATAGCAATATATACATTCGATACTCCGGTATAGTTCGACTTTCTGTTGTCGTGACGATTTATGAAAAAACTTAAAAAAGAACCAGGGATGGGAAGTGGGGGAGAGGAGAGTCAATTGATCACTGGTCTCTTTCGTTTAGCAATGCCCTTCTAAAGCGATCGTCTGCATGAACTCTTCGCACCTCTGCCTTGCTTAATGTCTCATTCGTGTGTTTGTTCCTTTGTCTTTGTTTTTCTTCACTTTTAATTGCGGACTAGAATTTAATCAAAGATTAAAATTTATTCTGATAAATACTAGTTTGATTCATAATAATTCGAGGACTGTCTCTTTCTCTCTCTTACGAAGTTGATCTCATGTACGCACACATGCGTTCTCCCATTCGCTCGTCCTTTCGCTCTCTCTCACTGAATCTCGCTGAATCGCCTCGAAATATCGTTTGCGCATCTTTCTTTTCTTCTAGGCATCGATAATTTACGGCAAAGTCTCATAATTATGTATCCTCCCTTCGCGCGCTGTTTATAATAGCCCAAACACTGTATTTTCACGGATCGCAACGAGCAGTTAGTGGAATTGTGGGACTTGGATTTTTTTCTATTCCTTACCTCTCTCTCTCTCTCTCTCTCTCTCTCTCTCTCTCTCTCATCGCATTTGTTGCTGATTATGCAAATTTATTTTGAAGATGTGCGATCGCTGGCTGCGATCAAGTGAAAATTCAGCAGGCTGTTGCGCGATGTGTATCGCTGCGTTAGTCTCTGCGTGGATATATTCGTATGTTCTAATAGATATAATTAAGTGTGGTAAGTAAGTAAATATACAAGACGCGTGTGTGTACGTGTATATGTAGTTCTTTGTGTCCGTATTCCGAGGTTTTTCTGCCCTCTTTTCTTTTGTACAGATATTTACATACGTCAGAAATCGCATATCCGTCGACTTAGGCTTGCGCAAATCTCTTGTCTCGTTCGATGAAATAGGCGTGCCTCTTCGTCTTTCATTCGTACGCTCTTTCTCTCTATGCATCATCGTAATATAAGCTCTATCACATTGGCTTTACCAGCCACATTGTTATCGCGACAATTTCTCTAATAATAATAAAATAATAATGATTATTGATACAATAATGACAATAATTAACATAAACCTAATAATACAATAATATTTGTAATCATTAAAAATATTCATCACCAATTTCTTTTTTTAGCACAGCTAATAGTTTCGAACAAATAGAAAGAGGAAATTTAAATAATCATCTCATGAAACGAATAGATTTACTTCTTTTTGGTATTTTACATTCTGCACGCCGCGTTCAACATATTAATGTAAAAATAATCGATGACAGTGCGCTCGATAACTGAGAATATTCAATAATAGTAATTATATAATAATGATAATAATAATATAATAATAATAATAATAATAAAATAATTTTAATGATAATAGCAGTGATAATAATAACATTGGTAACGGTCTTAAGTGATCATTCTCCTCGCAGTTTTATAAATAGACGGACAAGCAAGAAATAGGAAAAGAGAATAGTGAAAGAGAAAGTTTTTAACTGAAAGAGATAAAGAAGTTTAAAATCGGGAAAAAAGAGGAGAGAGAGATTGATAGATAGAGAGAAAGAGAGAAAAAAAGAGAGAGAGAGAAAGAGAGGGGGGAAGGAATATATAACATTAACAGCTTAATCACTATCGGGAATAGGGAGGCAAGTATAAACAATAACATGAATCACAATTATGCAATAATTATTAATCGGCCGTTCCGTTGCGCTTAATTTCGTTAAAAATTAATAATAATTCGATCTAACAATTGGTTACTGGGAGATTGCACTGTGGCGAACCCGGACCACCTCTGTTTTCCGCGCATTATCTAGTCCGTTCGTCTCCCTCCTTTGGAATGATACATCAATCATTCATCACCGGGGGGAAGTATACGAAAGCGAAAGCAGCCGGGGTTCTCTCGAATTTCGAACGAGTTGCAACGAGAGCCCGTCTTCGTTGTCGTCGTTGTCGTCCTATAGCCGGCCCCGTTGTACTTTGATAGTCTTCTAACGATACGATCTCGCCGTTGAATCGCGCGCACCGACACTTATCTCTTGTACCACACTTGTCGCGTAGAAAACGTCACAAAGTGAGTTCTTTTGATTGAGCTCCGTTCAGTTTTGATCGTTTTGTTCTTCTACCAGCTCTCGTCCTCTCTCTCGGCCTCTCCTTTCCTCCTCGGTGACTCCTTCCAAGAATTTCTTTAGACCCGTACATCGCGTTTGCCTCTCTATGATAATGCCCTCGTAGTAGGCAGGACTCGGTCCCACGTGTCCGAGTCCTATAACTGGTTTCCTCGTTTAAAACTTAACTAGACCGGTGGTCCTCGCGGACCGCCTTTTTCTACAAAGCGTTGTTTTGGCATATTCCAACGACGTGACCTTGGGGACACGTCGGAAACTTCGCTCCAGTTTTGACTCTGTCCGAAGAAGAAACACTGAGTTTGCGAATAACTCCATGGAATTTCACGTTCCGAACTGTCCTAGTAATCCCACGTTTCCTCCGGCTCGTGCTTCACTACGTCCTTTGGACTTTCCTCCGTCGATTGTTGCGTCTGCTGCACCGACGGCGGTCTGGGCGACGTCACTGGACTATTCTGACCGGATTTTGGACTTGGCAGCGGGCTATCCCGGTCGGCTCCATTGTTACCGGATACGGAAGAGACATCACTCTGGGCGTCTTCTTCGTATCTGTCCTGCACTGGAGTCGGCTCGACCCTTATAGTCTCCTCGGCCTCTCTCTTCACGCCGTAATCGTCCGTCTGCATTACACACACGCCATTAATGATTACCTCGTCGCCCGTTCTCGTAGGTTCTTGCCACTCTGGATTCACCCACTGCGGTGCCGCGGGTTTTCTTCTATTGGACCTGACCGTGGTGGGCGCTGTCGGCGTTTCTGCAGGTTCTCTCTTTATACTACCAGCCGAACCGTCTGAATCTTCGCTACCTAAATTACTCATTGCGTCCTCGGCGTCTTCATCCTCGAATTCTTGATTGGGCTCTCTCTTCAGAGCGTTCATCGAAAGGTCGAGGCCGGAACATTGTTCTTTTAGAGCGTTTCCTACCAAGGTCGCTAGATTGGGATTAAAGTACGGAGAGTATGGTAGAGGTACATTCCCCAGACCCAGCCTCTCCTTCTGAATCTCCAGCAGTCTTTGGTTCAAGAGTAGTCTGAATTGAACAGGGTCGAACGGTTGGCCGGGTTCTCGCGGCGATTGTGGCTCCGGCTGGCCATGCGGCGTCTGTTGCTTCAGTCTCATTCGATGATTGTGAAACCAGTTCGTTATCGTCCTCGAGGACAGGGCGAGTTCACCAGCGAGAAATTCAATGGTGGCCACGTTAGGATACGGGTCAAGGGCAAAAGCGAGTCTAAGAGCTTCTTTCTGTTCCTCCGAGAAGAGGACGCGCTGCTTCTTCGCGGAGGCCGGCCCCGGGCCGGGTGATGCCGCATGATAAAATTCGGCGGTATCGTTGCTCGAAGTATCGGAACTATTATCGTGGCCAGGGCCACTACTACGTCGTCTTTTATTCGCCTCTCGTCGTTCGTTCTTCAACGCTTGCAGTCGATCGACGTTGTGCGCGTCTGACAGCCAAAGTTGCATTCTGATGAAAGGTTCTCGACCCTTTATGCTGAGCATATGCCATGGCTTGGGTTTGCTCAACAGTTCGCTGACGGAGCCCTGCGACAGACCGAGAACCGCCTCACCGAAAATCTTCTGGCCGATGTTGTTCGCCAGCAATGCTTCCTTGATCTTTGTGGTGATCGTTTGTGTGTCGAGATCTTGCGTAAGGGCGGCCATCTCATATACACTTGGTGAAATATGCGGATGAAGACCTCGAAGAGGCGACGGCGCCATTTGATGGTGCGGCGAGTGCAGTGCAGACATTTGTTGCTGCTGCTGCTGTTGTTTCTTCTGAAGTTCCTGCATGCTAAGTTGAGTATGAGGGTGATGAGGACCGGGCGGCGTTAGCATCATTGGCGGTGGTGGCTGTGGATGTTGCGGATGTTGTGGACTCTGCTGAGGTGGTCCAAGCTGCATCTGATTTTCCTGTTGATGTTGTGCCGCAGCTTGCGCAGCCGCCTGTGCGGCGGCTTGTGCTTTTGCCGCGTTTTGAAGTTGTTCTTGGACGAGTTTCGTTGGTGGCATAGGTTTCATAGGTGTTCCACATGCTGTAACAATAAGAAATTTGGTTAAGATAATTCGGCAGTTAGAACTGAAATTTGATAGTCCGAAAGCTCCTCTTCTACGGACGTCAGAATGTAATTTAATTTCTATCGTGTGTGCATGTTTGTGTATACATATATGTGAAGATTGTATATTGGTGCAATTCCCTCTCGATTCTCTCTCTATAATAAAATAAACAAGTTGCATCTATATGTCGTAAAAATGTCATGCTTGCTTGCTTGCTTGAGTCACTTTTTGTCGTAACGACATATACATCATCATGACGTCGTGCTCGACAATACATAACAGAGCTCCCGAACTACGTTAATATAATAAAGTAACAAAACATCTATATTGACCTGAGTTAAACTTACGAGGCAGGCCGCCGTAGCCGCCGGTCCTCATTAGCTTCTCCGGAGCGATCTTGTACTGGCTAGCGACCAGTTTGTGTACCGCGTTGTCGTCCTCGAGGAACATTTTCATTCGGATGAAGGGCTCGCGACCTTTTTGGGTCAACATATGCCACGGTTTGGGACGCGCGAGAAGATCTGATACTGATCCCTGAGACAGACCCAATACCGACTCGCCAAATAGTCGTTGCGAAATCGAATATTGAGACAGCTGTTCTTTCACCTGTGCATTGCAAGCAGATATTCCAGATTAGACTTGATTGAACACACGTAATCAATTATGTAAGGTCGGAATTCACAATGAACTTGACTTACTCTCTTCACGATATCTTCCGTGTTAAGATTATTGTACATGTCGAATTGTTGCTGCGTGATCGGTGGAAGCACAGCTTTCAACGGCCTTTGATTGGCCGAATGGTGAGTTGGCGTGGACGGTTGACTTATCAGACTGTTTGTAATGGAAGCCATCCTCTGAAGAGGACTGGCTGCCGCCGCACCGGAGAACTCCTCGTTAGGTGTCATCGCTGGGGGAAGTATGGAATTGCCTAATGGCGAACTCGCGCTGGAACCACCGGGTGTCGATTGAGGACCCGTTGATTCCTGCTTTGGTCTCACCAAGGAGAAGGCACTCCCGGCATGTCTCATTGCCTCCTCCATTTTTTCTTTTTCCTCTTCCGATACGCCGTTTATCATCTTATTACGCGGATCCACTTTGCCTAAGCTCAGATCTTGAACACCGCCGCCGTTTGCGGCTAAATGATGTTGTTGGAGAGCTTGTTGTTGAAGCGCCAGCAAGCCTGGAAGCCCAGGTAATCCTGGTAGGCCGGTAATCGAGGGAGTTTGTCCTGGTGCGGCGTTCAATTTCTGAAGCTCACGATGATAAGCATCCAATGCTAGTCGAATGTCTTCCTGGGTGCGCTCGATGCCTTGAAGACTGCCTTGGGTACCGCTAAAAAAATGCGGAAAAATCGCACTACGATCAATCGAAGTCGTGTGCTGTCCTCAATAATAATCAATCGCAGTGATGTAACTTTGCGTATATTAAACGAGATTTTTTTATGTTGCAGCGACTATTGAGATTTTCTTCGATATTAATTGAGCAATTATAGATTGTTACTAATTCATGTGTGTAATAATTCTGCTAGTATAAATCAGGTAGTTTTTGTACTCGACTGTCTGAGAGAGAATATTCGGCATTTAAATTTACGGGTATTATATATTTGGATACTCGGGAATAACCAGGTGCTAAAAATTGCAGGGCAATGCCCGGCGGACAAACGATGCAAACTTCAACGATCGAAATCTCGTAATCGTGTTCTTACCTATGAGGAAACTCTCGCGGACGAAGATCCTCCACTCTTCTACCCATCAGCTTAGCCAGTTCCTCCTGGTAGATTCTCACCACCTTCTCCTGGGGAATGTCGTCGTTTTCGTACTTCTTTAATCTCCTGTTTTGACTATCCAATCTGTCTTTGCTGAACGGACTCGGGCAACCGATTCTACTCGGACTCTTACTGTCCGCATCATTTGACACCTCGTGCTCACTCCTCATTTGCAAATGGCCCGACTCCGACAGTATATGAGCCAGTCTTTCGTCACTCATTTCTGGCGGACCACTATCCTGTGGTCCACGTGCGAATGCTGGCATTCCCTGCTCCTTGCCTGAAACATACTCTACGGGTGAGGCACAACTTGTGGTGTATTCTTACTCAGTTCGGTCTTAGAAATATAAACAAAAAATATATAGAAACAAACGTAAATGCAAAAAACAAATGTGGTTCTCGACGCGTTATCTGGCGCCTATCGCCGCGACTTCTCGTATTTTCCTCTTCTGGAAATTTTGAGTCATCACTGTTCAGAGAGATGATTAGTCGTCTAGATGCATCGTGGTGTATCACTGCATAATTTATTACGCATATGAGCCATAATCCGACATAAATTTGAGAAAAATCTCGAATTGCGATGTTTGAGCAACATTCACTTTCTAGCGGAGAAAGTTTACTCGTGGATGAGACTGCCGCTACATTGTGGCGAGTCATATTTGGAAGATGATTTTATGCTCGTAAGCAATTAATACCACGCGCAATCGATAACTGCGGGCTGAACCCGAAGGCGAAGTATACTCGACGACGATAATTAAAATATCCTCTCCTGGACCCTCTCTCTTGCGGTCTTTCCCCTGTACATCGACAGGAGAGTAGTCCTCCTACGTGTTTCCCGTCTAATTGACCAATCAGCTGCAAGATTCAGACGAACGAACGAACCATCGATCATATCTTTGATTGCTCTCGCGAGCTTCGCACGCGAATCCGCGCGCGAGAATGATTCGACGCGCGGCGAAGAGCCGTGCGCGAATTTCGATCATGAACGAAATAATCTCCCGACGTTTTATCCATCAAGATCTGACGTTTCTCACTTAGACACGCTCGCGGAATCTACTCCGTACGTTTTCACGATTGCAAAATGGTACTTGCCGAAGGCGATCCGGAAGCTAACGCAACTGCATCTTATATCATTACACGTGTAAGCGCGATTACTGTTGGTACTGTAAGCGATCGCAGCACCCGTGTGCCGGATTAGCTGAAGAATAATGTCTCTCCTCCGTTCGCTCCCTGTATTAGTATCGGCACGTTCCCCGGTTAGTTGAACTTCCTTGCCGACGTAATCCGTACAAATCTCATTCTATCTTATTACGTTTTAACACAGACGGATAATTGCGCCGACTGGTATGTCAGAAGAAATAGACAGGTTCGCGCTGATTAAAGCAACGTTTTCACGAGACGTTCGCGTAATTGGTGATCGAGCGGATGGGTCGAGTGAAATCGGGAATGCAGAAATAAGAACGATGACGTATATGCACATCCACGATCGTGCATTGTCGCAACGTTTGAACTCCTGCCAACAAACTCGCGCGATTATGCTTCTGCTGTCTTCGTGCATTCAGAGAGACACGCATAATCAAGACAGTTCTTCCGTTGATTTATACGCATTACGAATCGATCGTAATCAGCGTTGCTGTTGGCCAAATATCTGCAAGACGAGGAGCGCAAGATGGGGACGTATCAGGAGACGAACGATATGAAATCATTTCCTCACGTGACAATTAGAAACAATACGTGTCGATGAGATTACTCGCGCAGATGAGTGCCTCAAATTTTATTATCGCGCAAGAAGACCACACAAATATCGCCCTATAACGGGATACTTTAGCCTCATTGCAAACAGATGGTGCGAGGTGAGTTACTTGCGTCACTGACATCTTCCTTTCCGCGGGTACTTGAACGAGATCACGTGGGAAACCTTGCGCGCATCATGTGTGGAACCGTGCGCTTGTTGATTATATGTTCGAGAGCCGACAATCTTCCCGCGGACTTTCCCATAAGAAATATAGAATAAGTAGCCCAGCAACAAATATTATCGGACGAACGCGATCGCGAGCGATACGCATTGTGGCGGAGCGCGCGGCGATGAACACAATCGCTCGCATGTCATTCATATCGGCAGATATTCTCATCAGGTTGCACAAAGGAGAGCATTGCTGCAAATTCATAGTTTCTCTCAATTAAGAAGCATTTTTCCACAGGATTGCTCAATCGCGGGAGACAACTCGCGTGCTATTTTTCAGGCGTTTGCCGCCTCGCCTTGGGTATTTCGTGACAGGTGCGCGTGTTTATGACAAAATTCAACGTAAAATGTGGTAAAATCTTGTTTGGTAAAAATCTTCCGAAGCTGTCATATTGTAGCAGGGAAGCTGTTCATATCATATTGCGAGAACTGTAGCGTAAGAATCTCTCTGTCCGTCGCACGTCTATTCTCTGTCGAAGCTGATCAGAGTTTTTCATCTCGTTGTTGTCTCGATCGGTCCGAGAGATTCGTTTATTTCTCACGGTATGGAAAATCTCGATGGTGGGATAAGTCGCTTGGAAAATGGCCCAGCAGCTTATGCAACGTCGCGACGCGTCGCGCATTGTTACGAGCTTTGCGCACTAAATCCATACTTTTCTTAGCTGTTGCGCGCTTGCTGCTGGCACTTCCCTCCCACCTGCGGATGGTGAAACGTCACGGACGGCGTGCGCTCTGATCGCGTCGCGGCATCAAAGACCGGTTACAGGGAATCGACGAAAGAGAGAACAATCGCGGTCGCTCGCGCCACACAATGGCCGCGACGCCGAGAAGAAAATGTTCGCGTACGCGTACTCGTGCGTGTTTCGCCGGAAAGGAAACCGTACCTCCGCGCGGCAATTATATTCGCGCCATAAAATTGTCTCGACGCATGCACGTGCACGCGACGCGACGCGACCCGCTCACACACGGGCGCGCACGCGGCGCGATATAAGGGAGAAACGTCGACAATGGGGCCCCGATTACAAAATCTAGAACGATTTCGTGGGAGTTCCCCGGTGCCGGTGACTTAAGAAACTCGCCCGATTGTTGCGGGAGCGAACGCGAGTTACGCGGTTGCGACGCTTCCGAACGCTACGCGTCGCGACTCGCAATCGCACGCGATTTGGGGAAAGTGTGCGTTCATACGCCGCGTGTGGTAATCGTTGCTCTGTGTCAGAATGTACCCGGCTAGTTTCAACATCCGAATACACATCTGCTCGGTACTCAAATCTGCACAAACATGAACGAGTAAATTTACAAAATATTTGCCGAATTCTTAGGTGCTACTCGAAATAACCAAAAATAATTCGGAACTGAAAATTTTGTGTTATACTCGAGTCACATTCGTCTGTTCTCTATTTTTTTATTTTTATAACAGCTAATTTTTATAACAGCTAATTTTTTATTTTTATATCAGCTGATTTGTTTTTTTAATTTTTACAAAGCATTGCATATACTTACACTTGATCGCATACAGAATAGTTCGGACACAATTAAATTGGGAGCTCATCAAATTGTCAAAATTGAGAGTTATTACCGACATAGTAGTGATATAATTAATAACGTAATTAATAATAATATATAATAAGAATAATAATAATTAATAATATAATTAATTTCAATTATTGTGCAATCAAGTGTATCCTGATAACGGTATTCGAGTAATTTTCACAACAATCAGCTATCCGGAAAATATTCGGGCAATTCGGTAACATTCAAGGAACTAAGTACTCGGATATTGACGCCAACACCGATGACAATTAATCAATATTAATTCCATATCGCGAAATTTCTGCAGCACGGAATGTATGACACCAAAATGCGACGTCGCGCAGTCGCTTCTGTAAATATTTGGTTTGAAATATCAACTCCCACGGGAATCCGGGTGTTATCAGTGAGCATGATCGTGGCCGCACACCTTCAATCCTTGTTCACCTCGTTGTTAAAGAGGAGGACACGTTTGAATGCGAAAACCCCGGGCAGCTCGTGCGCGTATAACGTACTCACCGCGGCAAGGCGTCAAGATGTAGAAGGATACGACCAGAGCACGGAGAAAATCTGATAAAATCGGCACATAAGGCGAAGTGCTGGCTCTAATGAACGAAACTCGTTCGCGCGAAATACAGACGCGCGTGCTGCAGCTTTGCAGCTGTCTGTGTGCACCTGTGCGTACACCTGTATATGAAGCGTATTTTCCTCGCAGGCTTTGCGAGTGGAAGTACGTTGTTGCGTACGGCTCGTTTAATTGACGGTGAGATATGAGACGTTCGTAGCCGCGAGGCATCGTCGTCAGTTCCTTCTCCAGCATCCAGGCAATTAAAGAAGAATCGAGTGCATTCGCGGCTAAGAGCCATTCCTTCTCACGAATTAAACCAACTCCGGTCTCAACTGAGACTATCAGTGGAATTCAAAACCAGCATTATGTACAAGTTGTCTCATAACGACAGCCTAAGGGTTATTATAATGTTCTTGGACCAAAACAGAACAACTTTTGCCTTTTGTAAAAATTTCGACAGTGCACCGTTCTTTAATTATGCAGTTGTTTATCGAACAAGACTCGACTCATGAGAAGCGGTCGTAGCGTACACGTTTAAGCCAGCGGATACCAAGATAGTCCAACGTATATTTCGCTCCGACCGCCTCTCATTGGTCGAGTTTTGTTCGATAAGAAATTGATTCTTTTCAGACATTCATTATGAGACCTTATATATACATATTTTCCGATCTGGTATAATTCTTTTAAGCGCTGTGAGTCACCAATTTTCTTATCTTATTACAATTTTTACAGTTTTTTCGTGGTGCAATATTTTTTAAATATTCAACAGCAATTTTTCGGCAAAAATTTGTAAATATTCTCCACGACAGACGATCAGTTAGTTTTTCAATAATCTGCTCAAATCTTATCAATCGTGTGGTTTTTGTTAAATATTCTTCTTTTGTGCGTATATATGTGTCAAATCTGCTTGATATAGAGACTGCCAAGAGTTTTGAAATCGTCCCGTCACACTTCGATAGTGTTATCTTCTTCGAATCAGGTCAATGTACGCAAATGAGATACTTTTATAGCAGCAGTTATCAAGCGAACGTTCTTCTCGGTTTGGGAAGCGCGTGATATCGTTTTCTATGTATACTTTGTAATTTTTTAAGTACCTTGCGCTCACAAGTGAAAAATACACAAAGAGATCTCCATAATTACGCTCCTTCATAAAACACCATAATTATATCGGTTATAAAAGCGTAAACGTCCCGTCGTACGCACGGAAATCGTAGTTATACGACAGTAACTACAGCCCGTAACGTTCCTCTTGCCGCGGTTGCAAATCATCGCAACCATGATTTTCGTTCATGATGGTCGTCGCGTCGCGGAAAGTCTCCGATGAAAATCCGGCGGATCGCGTGCGCGCGCGCGCGCGTGCTTTTGCGACTTCAGGAACAAAATTCTGCAATAAACTGACTTGGAGCTAGACCAACTATGTTTATTACGGTAATCTCGCAGCGCGTTGCTCTTGGTGCGCGCTTAGATCAATTGTGTTGTAACGTTCCGCGAGCAATAATAAACCGCCTGGACGTGCCGCGTTGAATAGTGGGCCAAGATCCAGATATGTTTGTCGTAGGATTAACAGTTTCCACGAATGCGCGATTTTTGCGCTTGCTCCTAGGCGACCGACTGAGAGACGTTTGCATAATTTATAAAGCGCGCCGTGATTTAGACCACCGGAACCCGAGGAGCCTGGCGACGTTAACTGGATCCAAATCATCTCACCCTGAACTACACGCGAACAAATTCATTGTCAACGTTTCACGACGGCCCACGCGCGTAAATTTTCGCGAAAAACACCACGCTTGTAAATATGCGCGAAGCCTCGAGAGGTATATCGCGTTAATGATGTCTCGTGTCGGACTATAACTAATAGAATTCTCGCTCGGTGCGTGCAATAATTCATGTATCGTACAATTTACGTGAGATGTCGGAAACTGATGTATGGCATTATGTTTCCGCGACGAGCAGCATCGCGCAGCAAAATGAAACCATCTCGATCCACGATCAATGCTTCATTGTAATGGTAACAATTTTCGCGGACGCGCGCGAGTGATAAATAAGGTGACCACAAAGTCGATTCATAAATCACAATAAAGCTTTCAACGACAGGTTGGTATTGCGCCGCCTGCGCCTGTCTATATAACAGCGCGATGAGTCGTTAGATCAGGTATTTAGCCCGACGCGAACTTATCTTAACCGACGCCGCCACCAAAGCTAAGCGGCGCCTTTCAAGCTATATAAAGCCACCGATTTTTGCCCATAAATCACATGCCTTGATTATAGAAGTTTCGGACATTGCCGCAAGTATATTTATGCTATTGAACCGCGACGGATACTCGTTACGATCACAAGGAACTCTCGCGCGCGCATGGTGCACGCTGATAAACGGCGAATGATTAATTCGACGATTAAAGAACTTCGGTGTGGTGCTACATTTTTAAGTTCAACAATAAATATCAAACTAATCGTAACTGTTTCTGAGACTCTCTCAAGAGAAACTTGATTTATGACACTATCAGTTGTGAATAATTGTGCGAAGCAAGTAGCAGATACTTCATATAGTAGCACGATATATTTCAGTTGACTAACACGCGTAACATAAAATATACACAGAAGGACTCAATGCCATTACTTTCTCTAACTCTAAGGTTAATAATGTTACATTTTACCTGAATAGATGAGTACTAAATATATATTCAATTTGAAATTGTAGCGACGGAAAAAAATTGCATTTGAAACGAACAGTTAACAATATCTGCACTTCTCCTCGTTTTCCTTTTTTCAACAGCAATGCTTAAACAATTTCAACGACTGCATCAGCAGTGATTCCTGCAATTCTCTGATTTATTGCCGTGCTCACGCCACGGGATGATACACGCATGCATCCCTATAATTTTACGGTTGGCGCATTGAGAGATGTTACGACCCCCTAAGTTTTTGTCACCAGTTCCCTCTTGCCACCCCACGTGTGTCCCTAACCCTTCATTTTTGTGCTCCTGTCTCTCCCTCTGTCTCTCCCTCTCTCGCGCATACACTCCCTCCTATCCGCTGTAATGTCTCGTGATTGTTGTTACCAGAGGTCCGACGGAAACCGACAATCCATTGATGCAGGACGCGCGTCGTGATCCAACTGGATTTTATACACGTTTTATTTCATCACCGGACGTGAAGGGAAAATGATGGCATTGAGTCAACATCCTGTGCAATTGATATTAATATTTACAAAAAAACGGAAGGCGCGCACCGTACCGCCGCAACACTGCGAGATTATAACACGCATCTCCGATTCGCCGCATGTGATACAAAAAAAACCTTAAAGAAAATTTCATTGCAATATTTCACTTGTAACTCTTCTGGTAACTATTTCGTCTATCTAACGGGCACTTTACTGGGAAAATAACACGGACACTCGAGGTCCGTCTACACGCGCACGTGTATATATACATAAAGACAAAATCAGCTTTTGTAAAAATTAATAAAAAATAATGGATGGGTATTATCCGCGTACTGTCCGCGTTTATTGATTCCAAGTATGCGGTACCCGATTATTTCGGCTAATATCCGCGAGTATCGTTTAAGTACCTGGGCGTAGAAAGTATCCGCTGACAGTACTAGGATTTCCATCAATGCTACGATAAAAGCTGGCTCACGCGGCGCAATTCCGCGGCAATCGGAAAAGTGCAAATTGGTTTCCGCGATAAGTACAGACCGGTGTGTTTAGGATTTCTATGTTCTCTGTCGGATCTTGCCTTCCTTTCTCCTCTCGTCCCCCATCTCTATACATCGCGGAGCCCTTTATACATCTCACCCCTACCCAACACTCATCCAGGGCTTCCTATTCCCAGGAGCTATTAGTCTAAACAATATGGCTGCCAAACGCAGCATACAATCGATAACGGGCAAGGTATGCCAACGAGCTGCGTAATTTAATTAAGACTATAGATGTTCAAGCCTGGATACAGCGTATGCGTTTTTGCATCAGATACCGAACACAATGTGTGCTTTCGCTAACAGCACGACACGCTGATGCATTAAAGTATTTGCTGACACAAAATTACATATGTCGTTTGTGGATAATTATTACATTATGCGTGTCGGTCGAAAAATTTGGTTAGATTTCCCAAGACGATTTTGTTGCACTCAGCGGAAGCAAATGATTCATCGATATAGTTGTTTATAATTACTCGCCAACATTCTGGCAGCATTTGTACAGTTCTATCGTAGAAAGTATTGGTTAGCAGAATTCATCTGCTCTTTCTAACTCAGGTATAGAAAGCCCACGATGTCACCAACGCATACTTATCTCCCTGATCTCACTTCGCGTGTGTATAGAGGGATGCCATTCTGACACGAGCGTTCCTTTCGCGCGGTGCAATTAGAGCAAAACGGAAGTACCATCGAGCCCCACGTTAGGCAACCGAAAGGTTAGCTGACAGCTCATAGTTAGTGATTCGGCGAGATGGATTATTGGCAGTGCGAGGCGGAAGATTTTCGAGAGTCAAGTCAATCGACATGTCATCGACGGCGAAGGCAAGAAAATGTCTCGTGGCTAAACGGCGCAGCGACTCGCTGTGGGAGTCGTTGCCCTTTGGTGTTTTCAGCGATTGATGATGAATGATTCAACGTAATTACACACTTAAGATAGCAAATATTCGACCGCGCATCCTCAAACCATCGCGCTGAACTTTACCATAAATGCGGTTTATCGCGCTTATGGGCGTGGAAGGAAGCAAAATTAATCACGATTGCCACAGGTATTCGCTACAATGTGGCGGCGTGTGTAATTACGATGTCCCGTCCGTCTTCGTGGACATCGAGACGTCAGGTGATCCAGCCTTCGTCGTGTCGGACGTTACGCAGAGGCGCGTCGAGAGATGTTGTACGAAGTGATTGAAGTAAAAAAAAGATGTAAATAAATAAATAAGAGAGAAATAGAGAGAAAGAGAGAGAGAGAGAGAGAGAGAGAGAGAGAGAGAGAGAGAGAGAGAGAGAGAGAGAGAGAGAG